CACAGTAAAATTTCTACCTTTACCGGAAGCCACAGCTTGTCACTATGATTAGAACATATTCTTACAAAACTAGTGAAATAATAATACATAAATATATAAATACAAATATTACAAATATTAGAATATAAATACAGGAGAATATAGGCATAAATATAAATAATACAAATGTAAATATGCTCTCCAAGTGTTTTACAGACATGGACAGAATAAAATAGCTCATCTCTCTCTGTGATATGAAACCCATCTACTCTGTGTTTCTGCCGAGTGTGGGATTTTATTTTTTTTTAACAGGAATTTTCCACGTGGCCTATGGGAAAATACCCTCTGAGCAGCTCGAGGCCTCCCCTGCAGTGACTCAGCGCAGCGACACTCGACCCACGGGCACTTGACCCATGGGCACTCGACCCACGGGCACTTCCCCTGGAGCGTGGGACAGGTTCAGCCTATTTGGCTTTGGCGGTGGCCTCTCAGTTGCTCATTGCTGCTGCCTGCAGGAACACAGCCTCTCGTCAGTCAGACGTTTGACTCTCAGTAATAGTTTCCAGCCCCATCATACCTTGCTGAGATTTACCAGCCAGATAACAGCTTAAAGGAAGTGTAAAAATATATCCAGTGACTTGTCTTTCACTCCTCAGGGTTTGGTGTCCTAACTGATCCTGCCTTCCCACGCGATTTTTAACCACGCTGTAGGAACATCTATTTTGTTTTCCTGTCTCAAGTGCTTTAGCCCCTGATGTGCATTTTCACTGCAGCTCTGGACTGACAGAGAGGTCAAGAGTTTAAAGCTAGCTGTGTTTCTAGGGAAACCGAGACAATAATGGGCTATTTCCAAAAGCACACACCACACCACACATTCAGTTTTAAGTATTTGCCAACTATTCACATTGCTCCCAGTTATTTAACTGTTTTAGTTCCTCACGATCTTTTATGCATTTTCCTCATAATAATATAGTCAAATATTACATAAATGACAAACACTAATAAATTAAATGATGTGTCCCAATATCACTGAAGATGCCTGTAGCTCAACAGGAATCTGTATCTTTCAAGTTCAGCTCAAATCACTGAATCTTCGTTTCTTTTCTGCTGTGAAGAACTAAAGCCCTGGATAAAAATCAGTTGTCCCGCATCTTACTCTCATGATTTCTTTCAAAATTGAACCCTTATTTCTCAACTGTTTCAGTGCAGGAATAGTAGGAGCACCCATATACATTTCTCTTCACCAAATCACATTCTCTCTACTTTGCAAAACCAGTAATTTTTTAGAGGGCTACCAGTTGCTCTCTGCTCTTTTTAAACGGCTCACAGCTGTGCATGCATGTGCTAGGACCTGCCTTTTCAGCGTGTAAACATTCTTGTCTTTGAATCTTTTGGCTCATTCAGTGAATATGTGGCAACACAAGGTTTGTGAGGATTTTAAAAAAAAAGATTAATGATGGGGTATAAAAGCAAGAAAGCTAAGAGCTGTATCTTAGGCAGACATTCAAAAGAGCTATTTCAGTACCAGCTGTAGATCAGTTCTTGTTATCACTGGTTCTTCCCACAAGGAAGTTTACAGAAAAAATAGAAATTTTTCTGTTTGAATTAAAGAGATTCAAACATTTCATGCCTATGAAGTCCAACAGAAAAAAAACATCCAAAGTTGTGATTTTAAGAGGGCACATGACCTGAGCAGCCAGATCTCTTGATGACCAAGAGAAGAGATGGAGACTGAGAACGTGCGCGCACTGGAGCCGAGCAGCACGTTGTCACTGACAGAAGCAGAGCTAGAGAGGCAGAACTATCAGAAGGGGCAAACACTGCAAGATGTAAAAGGTAAACTCAGAGTAATAACCTGACTTTGCTTATTTGCCCATAGAAGTCTCTGTGGAATTGCAGACACCAACAATATAGGTTAAAAAGTTCAGAGTTCTTTTAATTGCAAATTGCATTAGCAATCCCTGGAAGCAAACTTAGCAGGCTGTGAGAAGAGGGAAGCATACGCCAGGGTGACTCAAGGGCAATAAGGACGGGTTACCGGAAAACCAAGAAAAATACTCTGAAACAGTATGAACAGTTTTATAAAGCAGCAGTGAGGAGCAAAGCAGAGGAGGTAAAAGTAAAGCAGAAGCAGCTCTCGGCCAGGAGCCTGGGCGTGGACTGTTTCCACCAGTCCCCTGGATGACTTGGCTTTAATAAATGTGTCTCCCTTACCTCAGATAAGCTGCAGATAAAAGAAATTCCTTGCTGGCCCTACAATAAATCAGGTTTATAGTAGAGGGAGGAAGACCTACGCAGAATGATAAAAGCACCTTCTTTTTTGAGCAAATCCTTTGCCATAGTAAAGGCTCTTCCAAGCATTGATCTGCTTTAAGCTTCCCGCATTTCTGTGCAGTGAAGCACATGGACTTATGCTCAGGCTCTCGTTATCGACTTTCCTATTTAACAATAACGTAACTGTTCTTCTGTAGCTTTCTTTTTGTCTGCAGCCAGACTGTAACTTCTGATACTATTATTCCACCTCTTCACAGGGCTTGGAACAGTTACCTGCTGGGCAGGTTTTTCCTACCCAGCACTGAGCAGGACGTTCAGATCTACAGAAGGAACGACCAGCGTGTCTTTGCAGACAGAAGGGTCTTCCGTAGCTCTCAGGAAAGGCTGTACAGTTTTACTGGGCAAGCTGGAGAGCTGTATGAATGCTGCAGCCTGCCCAGAGAGAAAAGAACTCGGCTGCGATGCCCCTAGAGCACAGCATCACAGCCCGGTCAAGCTTGGTCCATGACTGTGCCTGAGTCACCGCAAAAATCCTCTTTCTGGTACAGCCTCGTAATTAGACACAGACCAGTGGGGCTGCTGTACAGGTGCCTTGGCCAGCTCCCAGCTGGTGTACTTGCTCTCCTACCCTCCCTGTATTTGCCCTGCAGTTTGGCATTTCTCTCTGTACAAAGCGAGTAGAGCCCTAATGTGTGGTCTAAAATAGCTGATGCATTTTTTATGGGTATAAAAAGACCGGACAGGCCCTCACACAGAGTTTGGCTAATCTTTAGTTCTTTATTTTGGTATAAAATTGATTTCTCATTGAAACACCGCAGCATGCATCTTGTGCTCCCCAGGTTCTGTTTAGTGAAAGCACTTGGAGGTGATGATAGAATTTCTGCCCAGCCCTGGTTGCTCCCTGAAGCTCTGGACACTGGTAAGCCAACTTACTCCCACTTTTTTTAAAGCAGTTCTCCCGGGGAGTCCCAGAGGTCTGGAGGAAGTGAGGGCTGGCAAGTGAAAGAAAGAAAATGGAAGAAAAGATCTGATTATCTACTTGTACGTTAGGGGTGCTTGTGGAGGAGCATGCATTTGCTTTTGAAAATTCATCTTGGATAACAGAGCTCTGTTATCAGTCTGACAATTACTGACTTAATCACTCTGTATTAAAATTCCTTCCCGAGATTACATGAAGTAAGTCGCCCAGTGACTTCGCCTGGACGCAGCGTTGGCTGAGCTGGGCTGGGCCCTCCCAGCCCTTTTGTCGCCACACAGGTGAACTGTAACAGATTTCTGAGTGCTCCCCTCGGCAGGGTGACGCCTCCTCTGAAACCCACCTCTTGCTTCGAGAGGCAGGGGGCAGGGGGAGGGCATGGGCTCCTGTCCAGGCAGGTATGTGGGGAAAAACACAGCCCACTGCACAGCGACTGACCAATAAGAGGAATCGCCGTGCTGGCAGAAAGCTCTGGCTGATAAATTCCATGGGTCTCAGATAACACACTCTGCAGACAACTCCCATTGTCCCAGGCATAAAAGCGGAGGGCTGGGGGAGCAGAGCACACGCTCCTGCGCAGGATCCCAAACTCTGTGAGCCGCGCCTCGGGTTAGGTCCTCGCTGCTTCTTACCATGGCCACTTACAGCTTCAGGCAAACCACCTCTGCGGGGGCAGGGGCACCCGCGGGCTCCTCGCTCCGGTTCACCAGCAGCTCCTTTAGGGCTCCCAGCATCCACGGGGGATCTGGGGGCAGGGGTGTGTCGGTCTCCTCTGCTCGGTTTGTCTCTTCTGGCCTAGGCAGCGGCCTGGGGGGGGGCTATGGAGGTGGCTTTAGCAGCAGCTTTAGTGGTGGCTATGGGGCTGGTTTGGGTGGCGGCGACGGCCTCCTCTCAGGAAATGAAAAGGCAACCATGCAGAGCCTGAACGAACGCCTCGCGTCTTACCTGGAGAAAGTGCGTGCACTGGAAGAGGCAAATTCTGATCTTGAAACCAAAATCCGGGACTGGTACCAAAAACAAGGGCCAAGCCCGGCCCGGGACTACAGTAATTATTACAAGACTATCGAAGATCTTCGAGACAAGGTAGGTGTTAACATTTCTTAAAAATCATCTTAGATTTGCACGTAGGAAGGAAGCATAAAACCCAAAGAGGAAAACTTCCCCAGGAAAACACCCAGAAGGCCCTGCAGCTTCTGAAAAGGGTAGGAAGATGAAATGAGTACGCAGGGATTGGGCAGAGTGAATAGAGAAAATGATCACTATGGAATTATCTATTTTTTAAATCTTAGCTAAGAGAATGTACAAAACAGTCTGAGATGCCTTAGTACTTGGTTCTCTCAAAACGTTTGTATACACACATGCGGGTCATATACAAGTTACTATACATCTGTATATGACTCTACATGTACTGATAAATATCAAGAGAGCCAAACAAGAACAGCAACCTGCCTATCTCTGTAATTTATGAGATGCCATGTAGCTTGAAAAACTGCAGAGGCACCTACACGCTGCTTTCAGAGTAAAAATAAAAACTGGTTAAGTACAATTTTGTAAATGTGAAGAAAGCTGCTCAAGATTTCATGACCATACATTTCTTTTTCTTTCACACTTCACTTACTTAAGCTCAAAGTTGAAGCAAGAGAGATGAAACATTCGGCTTATGGGAAAAAGAAGGAGCAGACATGAAGTAACCAATCCCATATATAAATGCAGGATTTGCCCCAATAGCCCATGGGTACCTGATAACAGATTACTCTGAGGTGATACACACCCTGGAAAACACAGGTAGTAGCTGATTAAGCTGTGTAAATAAATGAAAGAAAACTTGAGGTTTAGTTTTCCCAGTTCAGCCTGGAGTTCATGACCGCTCCCACGCAGTTTGCTTTCTCTTTGTTTCAACCCATTCGCATTCTCTACTGATTTCAGAAACGGAACTGTGATAAAGACACAACTGGCAACTAGATTTTCTCCTTTTTGCATTCTTTTCCCTCCTGCATTTTACTCCCCTTAGTTAGGGGACAGGAAATGAAGTTCTGGCTGGGTTTGCAGCTGAGTTTTACAAGTGGCAGGCAAAAAAAGACACGCTTTCTAGGGAAAACGTGACCGGGATTTGTTCTAAGTAAATGAAACTTTTCTAGAGGCTTTCATGATGCATTGTAAGAATCAATAAACACGATCCTGGATATTCTAGGAAATAAAAAATGTGTTCAAAAACTATTCAAATACAATATGAACCCATATTGTTTATGAAACACAAACTTGTCATTTATTTTAAAATCATACAGACCTTGTAATCACTTCCCACTTTGAGAACAAATTCTGCCAAGAGGGGTCTGCAGACTTTGCTTCCTTCGCACCTCTCTTGCCTCAGTCCTAAAGCACCACCTAAGCCCTGGCTCACTGAAGGCCCCTACTGCTGAGCCAGGATGTAGTTTTGTCCCGCTCTGGGACTTGTAGCGAAAAGCTGCTTCACATGCCAGACAAGAGAAAGCGGGCTCATCCACACCTGACCATCAGGGCTTCATTTTTGCTATAAATCATCGATCCTTTGCTACTGGGAGCAAATAAAATACACCTTTATCTGGTGTAGCCTCAGGTGAAATAGAATCCTTAGAGCTCTTTTATCTTCGATCAGGAAGGCAGATAACACAGTCCTTTCAGCCTCAGCAAAGAACTCTCATTGTTTGTAGATCCTTGATGCCACTATCGACAACGCCAAGATTGTCTTGCAGATCGACAATGCCAGGCTGGCTGCTGACGACTTCAAAACCAAGTAAGTAAGTTCTCAACGGAAAAAGGCCTCTCAGGCAGGCAAAAATCCTTTCTGAGCCAAGGGGCAGTGGCTGTGAAAGAAGAAAGGAATGCCTACAAAATCTCTGTATGAACCGGGTTTGATCCTGCTGTTGCAGTTCAGCCCCTCACGCGTTAGCTGGAAGCACCATCTGCACCGTGGCAAGTTTTATGCCATGCAAAACACGTGGAGAAAAGTGTAATGCTGGACAATGTTTGCTCCATCAGAAATCCTGCAAAACCAGATACATTTATAGCAAATAATGATGGGCTGGCTTCATCAGCTAACCCGAATACTTTTGTCTTGCTTTTTGTTAAGGTTTGAAACAGAGCAAGCTCTTCGCATGAGTGTGGAGGCCGACATCAACGGCCTGCGCAAGGTCCTGGATGAGCTGACCCTGGCCAGGACGGACCTGGAGCTGCAGATCGAAAACTTAAAGGAGGAGCTGGCCTACCTAAAGAAAAACCACGAGGAGGTAAAACATCCCCAAGAAACACATTTGAAAGTGATATTAGAAATGTGGAAGTGTGGAGTGCCTTGGGATGGCCCCGGGCTCTCCAAGAGCGAAAAAAAGAATTTGGCGCTGACTGGGAAGCTAAAGATGCCCCCTGCAAGTATTTAAGGGGAGTCAGTCAGAGCTCAGCCCTTGAAGAAAGAAGAGAAGGGTCACAACGTTTTCAGTTTATGATTTTACCCTCTTTTGTCTTCCTCTGGCGTGTCCACCCAGGAAATGAGTGCCCTGGGAGGGCAAGTAGCTGGCCAAGTCAATGTTGAGCTGGACTCTGCTCCAGGCATTGACCTGTCCAAGATCCTGGCTGATATGAGAGACCAGTACGAACACATGGCTGAGAAGAACAGGAAGGATGCTGAGGCCTGGTTCCACAGCAAGGTAAAACCCCTCCATGCTATACAGATACTAATCCAAAACATTTCCAAAAGAAACAAAATAATTATTAAAACACAGGTAAAACTGCTGTGCAACCTTATGACCTCTACTCAGAGGCCCCATATTTCTCATGTCACGTTTTCCCTATTTCAGACTGAGGAGCTGAACCGGGAAGTAGCTGTCAATACTGAACAACTGCAGAGCAGCAGGTCCGAAGTCACAGACCTGAGGCGCAGCCTCCAAGGGCTGGAAATTGAACTTCAGTCCCAGCTGAGCATGGTATGTTCCAATTTGTGCTGCACGACACCCCTTCCCCGGAAACGGGTGTGTGTTCCCCTCCCTGCAAGGAGCCTGGCATCTGGCAGCAACCGCTCTGTGGTTTCCCCCCAACCCCTCTGCTCACAGAAAGCAGCTCTGGAGGGCACCTTGGCAGACACGGAAGGCCGTTACGGTGCCCAGCTGGCGCAGATCCAGGGCCTGATAGGCAGCATTGAGGCGCAGCTGGCGGAGCTTCGCGGTGACATGGAGCGCCAGAGCAGCGAGTACAGGATCCTCATGGATATCAAGACCCGACTGGAGCAAGAGATCGCTACTTACCGACAACTCCTGGAAGGCCAGGAGTCCCAGTAAGCAACTCCGCTCACTGCAGAAAACCTTTTTGCTTGCCCACGCCATGGTGCTCATTTGTCACAGCCCCACACTAAACACAACTTCAAATACTCCTGGGGTTCTAAAATCTTTAACCAATTCTCTGACTAAATATAAAATGTACCTGACTGACAGGGAATTTGCCTTCAAACATCCCCATTTCATGCAGCATTTGATTTGTTACCTCTCCTTTCAACTGTTATCTCTTTGTTCTACAGGTTGTTTGGCTCCTCTTCTGGAACTACTGGTAAGAATTCTTTCTCTTTCAGGAAACCTTTAGGAGTCAAAGAAGTTTTATTTTCCAAAAGGAAATATAAAGGCATTATGGCAGTCGTGTCCATTCTAGAAATTGGGATGCTGCACTGCTTGGTGCCGCAGAAAACTATCTAATAAGAAACAAATGATGACCCTGAATTTAACAAGTTTCAGTCACTAAAAGATGTTAGACATCAGAAAAATTCTCAGACTGCTACCGTAAAGGCTAAGTAAAGCACAACATGCTTAACTATTTCCCCAGATGAAAGGATACAAGAACTTTAAGCTTGGCCAGCTCAGGGGAATTGTATGAACATGCAAGTAAAACTTGCCTTGAGCTTTTAAAGGTCAGCTGTATTGTAAAAGTGATGTATGATTCAAATCAGTGCTATGAAGAAGAAAACTTCTGAGAGAACAGAATGAGAGATGAGATGTAAACTAAGCTCAGTGCCCACTGCAGCACGGCCCCACGTGTGCTGCGCTGAAGTAACTGCTGCTCTTTCTCTCCATGTTATTGCAGACAAAAGAGACAAGCTGGCAGATGGAAAATAGTACTGAGAGTCCTCCAAATGTCATCTTCGAAATGAGAAAAATCAGACAACACAGAGGAATTGAAATGGAGAGGAATCACTCTGCACTGCTGGAAGCTACTCTCTCATAGCACACAAAATTCTTGGCCACACAAGCTTTAGGTAGATTGATCCATTTAGTGGTGATTCGATTGAGGTTAGGTTAGCTTTCCAATTATTTCTAGTTCCTTCATGTACTGAATTGCTTTATCTGTTCTAATAAAGATGATCTTCTTGCAATCTCAGCTTCTGGTGGGTCATTGTGATAGTGTTTAAGCAGGCAGGAAAAGCTGGCCAGTCTCCCCGGCAGCTCGATGCGCAGTGTCTGGGTGGCTCGAGCTCTGTCTCTGAGTTCTAGTTGCTCTTGCTGGCAGGAGCTCTGAATATGGAGACCACAGCAACCTCAGCCCCTCTGAGCGATTTACGTTTCTAATTGCCGTGGCTGCGCACTCTGAGGTGTAGCAGTGAGATGGTAAGAGGTAAGAGCTGGGAGTTTGGTTAGGGTAAAACACCAAGCTGTTAATAACTCTTGCAGGACCGAAAAGGAATGAGAAACATTGTTGTGAGATTTCTTCACTCGCTCTCCCAGTTCACACAAAGGTAATAAACCTTTAACGTGAATTTTTGCCACCTTCATCCTCATGCTATGAATGGGTATTATCCTGGCTGAAATTCTAAATGTAATCCCTTCTAGTTCAGGCCCTAAAAAATAAGTAATTTCATTTCCAATCAGCAAGCTCAGCACCAAGGATACTTACCAGGGCTTAGGCCAAAAGAAACTCATGGCTGTAGCCTATCACATTCCCACCTCCCACTGTCACAAAAGGCACCTGGTCAGCTCGTCAGCTGGGGGTGAAACTGAAACACCAGTGAGCCCGGACCAAAAGTACCGCAGCACCGCCCTCCCGCAGAGCCGGTCATCTCACAGCCTGTGTTTCGCGGAGACATCGGATCCTTCAGGACTTCTCTCCTTGGACATGGGAGGGAATAATTATTTCACCCTTATTCATAACTAGATGTTCACAACAGAATGCTGGAGAGCGCGCGTAGCAGGGAGCACCGCAGAGCTGCAGACCTCCCCTGTCAAGGTTGGGCAGTGCTCTTCGATCCAAGGTGCTTCTGCTGGGTTTGGGTTCAGCGGTGACTCAGGTGACCTGTCAACATCGCTTGTCAAGAACTGACACACACAATCCCAGCTGAGCCTCTGCATGTCTGGCACGACAGCGTTGGGCAGTGGCTTCACTATGACAGTGAAAAACCGTCAGGAAAGAAAAACAGTCACGAAAACTAAGAATCAGCAAAGAGATTACAAGCAGAGGAGGAGACGGGCAGAGCAGGGGCTAAGGCGTGGTGGAGACAAGAGCAGAACTGGAGGGGAGCCGTGGCACGGAAAGCATCGGCACACGCTCCTCAGGAGCTCGCTCACTGCCACGGCGTCCGCCTGCGGAGAGCCAGGAGAAAGCTCTTGGGCATCAAACGCTCCAGCACAGGCTATTCCCGAGTGCTGACACTCTCTCTAATAAAGACTTTGTACCAAATTCACTCCTTACACCAGTTAGACCTGGGATCCTGCCCAGAGGAAGGAACACACAGTTCCACGTGTGTTTTCTAACCTCGCCAAATCCATTCCCCGAGCGCAGGTTCTTGTGACAGAAACAGTCAGAGTACGAGATCACTGGTGCAGAGTTCTTGTGCTGTAGAGCTCCAAATGTGAGCCTGACAAGAAATTCTTGTGCTCCAAGAATGCAAACTATAAGGACACCTTGCAAATGTATATTTTGACCAAAAAACTTTATTTTCAAAGACTGAACTAAATGCATGTTTAAAAGGATAATAGTTTAAAAGTGTTTAAAAAGTCAAAAGTGCCAAGAATGGCATAAAAATTTATAAATGCTGCTGAAGAAATTGGGTGTCCAAAGAACTGAAAGAATTTGAAAAGGCTAGGATTTTCATTTTCATTTTAGTTTACAATTTTATTGGTTTTGTCCCATATTTGTAGAGTAGTGAAGTATTTCTGGTGAAATGTTTAATACAAAATCAATCAGAGACTATAATTTTAGAGTTTGGTTCATAAAAAAGTGTTTTCTAAAGGAATATATTGTCTGAGCCCTGGTTTTATCAGCAAAGGCTGGGATGATAAACAAGCTGCTTCTTGAATGGAACCCTCTATCCTCCTGAAAGGAGAGGCTAAATCGTGTCAACCCCATTGATCTCGTAACAGAAGCAAGAAAAGACTTTGCACAGCACGGACATGCCAGGGAATGTCTTCCGGGAAAGCTCGGTGGAAGCACCACAGACCAGGGAGCTCATGCGCCACGAGCAGAATGCTGAGTACGGTGCAAAGGATGAAACTCTGTGTCAAGGCTTCGGATAAGAAACAGTAGAGGACAGATAAATGTGAAGATAGATGAACGAGAAATCCCCAGAGTATCCTGTTAAAGTTCATGGTGTTTCACTACGGGTTTTTTTTCATGGAATTTGATCTTTCTTATTGTGGGATCACTCAGCCTTCCACAGACCCCAGCAGCTTGCGGGCCTCAGGATATTTACATTACAGGGGTCTCAAAGAAACTTTGTTACCTTTAGGGGAGATTGTCTAAACTTGTTTCCCGAGATACTCACTCCTGGGTACACACCGCTTTGGCAAACTCTGCAGAACCATTAATCTGCCCTGGAGCAAAACTGAACTCCTGTGGCAAGGGTCCAGGTTCAGTTTGAAACATGTTTCCACAACTGTGACTCACCCTGTCTTCCCCTGCCAGCTGAAGAAGGGGTGGACATTCCCAGAACCCCGCTGCCAAGCTACAACTCACAGCTACATTTTTGACGTCTCTTTCCTTCCAAAGCACACGTCTGCTCCTAGTAAAAAGGCTGCGCAGTCCCCTGAGGCTGCGATAAAATCTCAGCTGTAAACTTCAGAAAACTCCGCAACAACTGGTACATTCCTTACTTTATCTGGAATCACCCGTCCTGAATTCTAGTCTCATTGTCTGTTGAGACGTACCATCAAAAACCGCTAAACTCACTCTCCTCATTTTTTCTTTATTTCAAATTTTATTTTAAAATATTTGGCTGGTTCCAAACCAGAGACCAGAGGAAGTTCCCCCAGACTTCACTCCATCCCCGCTTTCCTCCCCCCTCTCCACCCCGTTCCCTTAAGCCACGATGGGCCTCAGCACCAGCTGCCACCTCCCCGCAGCCCCGCTGCCGCAGCTGCCCCTCGTGGCTTTCGCCTGGAGGACGTCACCTGGTTGGGCAAGGAACGGAGCTCTCTTCACCCCCACACTGGGCCACCCTGCCCACACACACTGTGCCCGGTGGCACATCCCAGCAGGGTAGAAAAGCAGTTAATACTTCTTCAAAAATCTTCCAAGTCTGCTTTGCCCTGGTGAGCAGAGCTGTGGTGCTGCACTGCTGCCTTCTGAAGTGCACCCAGAAACTCCCGGATCTGAAACACACTGGTGCTTCAGGCTCCCACGTGAGATGAAGGGCTAAGAGAGCTCTTCTAAGTGCTTCTCAAACCTTATTTTCAAGAGTGACTCCATTTCATGGTGCGGATTGGCATTGAACGCATTAATTCCTATCTGAACAGTTTCCTCTTAGAGCCGGTCGGTTTATGTTTTCCAAAAGTAACAGGAACTTAGTCCTCCCACAGTTGTTCTTTAATTGAATTATTTTAATCTTGTATTATCCTCCTTGACTATTTCACAAGCCTTAGCAAGTTAATTGGGCCCACTCTTCCCTGTACGACGATGGGTGCCAATTGCTCCTCACGCAGTGCCACGATCGTATGCTTTTTGTACTAAAAATTCAGACTCCAAAATCTAAGTATCAGTTCCAAGTAAAGAACAGGAACAAGGCCACATCAAATTCAATTACAGATGTTAAGGGGAAAAAAAATGGATGCAAAAGAAGAACTAATGGTGAGAAGAACTGATGGTTGCACATCTGTCAATGGAGGGAGAACTCTACTTAAACTTCATTTTTATTTTCTTAAAATAGTCACGGTGATGCCTGTAAATGGGTAAGTGGGTGTGGTTGAACTCACTTTGTTTTTCCATTCTTAAATGTCAGAGAAGTAAAATTCAAGTTTCAGAACTATAGCCTGAAGAAAAAACACTCATATGAATCATGCCTTTTGTTTAATTAAAAAAGAGAACCCAAGCCCTAGCCCCCAAGATGCAGAGCCAGCTCGGTTTGTGAGGAATGTCATCATAATTGGCCTCACCTCTAGGGAGGAGAAATTTGGGAGGGAGGGCTGCAGCCTGGGTTTGTCTCCTCTGCCCCTGTCTGGAGGATATAAAAGCAGCAGCCGGGCAGTGAAGGCACACACTCTCCTCTCCTCCGCCAGCTCCCGAACTGCCCCCTTCTGCCGCCGCAGCCATGGCCACCTCCTTCCTGCACAGCTCTTCCTCTACCTACGGGGGTGGCTTTGGGGGCGCTGGAAGCAGCAGCTCTCGCCTCTCCTCGGTGCGGGTGGGAGGAACATGCCGAGCTCCCAGCATCCACGGAGGATCTGGGGGCAGGGGGGTCTCCATCTCCTCAGCCAGGTACGTCTCCTCTGCAGGAGGCGGCTACGGCGGCGCCTTGGGCTCTGCCTTCGGCGGTGGCTCCGGGGGAGCCTTGGGGGGCTTTGGGGGGGGTGCAGCCTGTGGCTTTGGCGGGGGCGCTGGCTTTGGTGGAGGTTTTGAACTTGGCGGTGGCTTTGGTGGTGGTGATGGCCTTCTCTCCGGAAATGAAAAGATAACGATGCAGAACCTGAACGACCGCCTGGCTTCGTACCTGGACAAGGTACGAGCACTGGAAGAGGCAAATTCAGATTTAGAAGTTAAAATCCGAGACTGGTACCAGAAGCAGGCTCCCACCAGCCCAGCCCGCGACTACAGCAATTACTACAAGATAATTGAAGACCTCCGAGACAAGGTATGATCCTCATATGCAGAGGAGTTATAAGAATGCATTAGAATTGTGGAACTGCATATTTCAGTCTTTTTAAACAAGCTAAAATAATTACAAAACAAATATCAAATTCCCCAACCCCAAATATATTGTGGTTATGAGTATTCTAGTAGAAACGAGTGGCCGTTTCCCAATTCAAAAAACAAATACTTTAGCCTGAAAATGTGCTGTTTGTTGAAATGAACATGATTGCACTAAAAGTTGGCAAAACATGTCAAAATGTGTTTACCTGTATCCATATATTTATGCAGCAATCAAATAGTAAAGACTGTGACAGGTAGGCCTCAAAGGCTGAAAAAAAATTCTCCAAGGTACAGGTAAGAGCAGGTGTTGTACAAACATCTTTTGTAATTATGTTCCTGATTTGTTACACACAGACAGCTCTCTGTTTTGCATATGGAATGTGGAAGAGAGCGTAGCATTTTTGGTTCTCCTCTGTAAAAGCCGTAAGAACCACAGTGTGACCACAGAGCAAGATCATAAATTGAAAGGGCTATGGCAATCCATAAAGAATGTTTAGCCTGTGACATCACAAGAGAGGTCCAAAAATTCACAGTCCTGTACACAAGACCGTGATATTTCACCGTTATTCATAGGAATCTTTTTCCATGTTTCCCAACTGCAGATCCTCGCAGCTACTATTGACAACAACAGAGTCGTTCTGGAGATTGACAACGCCAGGCTGGCTGCAGATGACTTCAGGCTGAAGTAAGTTCTCTCTCCTTCTCTCTCTCTCAAAGCAGTTTTCTGAACTTTAGGATTAGGTATTTTTCCTTTTTAACTTCTGATGAAAAAACCCCAGCAAACAGAACCAATGTGATGAAGGATCAGTTCAGAATATAACCTTGACAGATCACAGCATCCAGATCATGGATCCATTTAGGTAACAAATTATAGTTCATGTCTTAGTTCTTTAGTGATGCTCTTCACTATTTTTACCAGCCTAAGTCACGCTAAGTCACAGGGCAAAAGAAGACAGGAGCAGGTTAGGATTTTCACCTAAGAGGAACAGTGTGGCACCAAGAGATCACTGCTCAGTTGCAGGAGTTCTCTCTCAAAGAGTCTAGAACAGAGAAAAGACAGGCAAAGAGTCACTTGAGGCTTAACCAGCTCACGGACCAGCATTACAGCAGCCACTGCTGAAAAAGGTAATAAAGACACGGAGTTATCTTGCAGTGATGTCACGTACCTGCAGGTTTATACTCTCTCCTGCAGAGCCCTAGGCAGAACTGGGCAATCTAAGCTTTCCTTCACACCCAGCTAGAGGGGACACTGCACATGGACTGTCCTGTGTGACAACTTTTCTATCAATGCTGATAATCACTATTGGGTTCTGCAAAGTGAAACGTCAGGCACTCCTGGAGAATAAAATCAGATGGCAATGCGTGTACTTTTGTATGTCGTTACTGGATGTTGGGAAAAACCACCTTTACTCCCTTTACACTTCTTTTCAATGTATGTTTTCACGTATAGCCTACTGTTTCTCCTACTTTCAATTTAAAATTTTGTAGTTTTCCTAGTATTCATACTGAATACATTCTTGTATGTGCTCCAGTGCTTGTTTCTCTTTTAAACTGCAGATATGAGAACGAGTTGTTCCTGCGCCAGAGCGTAGAGTCCGACATCAACGGTCTGCGCCGAGTCCTGGATGAGCTGACCCTGGCCAGGGCTGACCTGGAGATGCAGATTGAAACCCTGAAGGAGGAGCTGGCCTACCTCAAGAAGAACCACGAGGAGGTGAGAGGCTGGAACAGTGCAGTGAGGATGCCCTTGGGAATTCATGCCTCTTGGGTGGGAAGGGGAAAATCCAAACAAAAACCCCAGAATGACAACATTACAGCTTAAGAAGAAGAAAACTCTAGTATTAAAAGAATCCAAAGCGTGTCTTGAGAAGTGTTTCTCTGATTCCAAACTGTTCAGACCTATTAGTTTCAGTGTGACATGCACGAGCACGTGACAGGTCACTGAGATAGTTAAGCCGAGTACAAGAAACGTACCTATAAGTCACATGCAAATATATGTGTTGCGTGTGAATATACAGAGTAGAAACCATGTGTGGTGAGAGATACAATTTGATAAACACTTTTATGTGTGTTCTACCTATGCTACTTGATAATAAAAGCACCGTGTAGCACTCCATGGATTGCTGACGGCAGAAAAGCGAACAAGAAGAGAGAGCCTAACCTTTTGTGTGTCCTCTGCTGTCTGCCAATGCAGGAAATGAAGGAGTATTCCAATCAGCTCAGTGGAACAGTCAACGTGGAAATGGATGCAGCTCCTGGCATCGATCTGACCAGAGTTCTCTCTGAAATGAGGGAACAGTACGAAGCCCTGGCTGAGAAGAACCGTAAAGATGCTGAGGCCTGGTTCTTCACTCAGGTACAGTTACACCAACAAAGAGCAAACTGACGCACTGCCTCCTTATTACTGCCCCCGCAGGTGGGATAGGCCCTTCCTTTCTCAAAAGAATTCAGAAGATTTCTACACAGTATGCGTGTGATTTTACACTTGTTTTTTCCCAACAGACTGAGGAGCTGAATCGTGAAGTAGCCACCCATACGCAAGAGATACAGACCAGCAAATCGGAGATCACAGAACTGAGGCGCACAGTCCAGAGCCTGGAGATCGAGCTGCAGTCCCAGCTCAGCATGGTACGGGCTGTCCTGGGCACCGCGCTCTTCCCGTCCTGCCTCCCTGTCCTGCCTCTCCTGGACTCCCCCTCAGTGGGACAACCCTGCACACTAACCGGTTCTGACACTGTTCCCCTTTAGAAAGCGGGACTGGAAGCCAACCTGCGAGACACAGAAGGCCGATACTGCGCACAGCTGGCCCAGATTCAGGCTCTCATCACCAGTGTCGAGGAGCAACTGAGCGAACTGCGCTGTGACATGGAGCGTCAGAACCAGGAGTACAGAATGCTCATGGACATCAAAAGTCGCCTGGAGCAGGAAATCGCCACGTACCGCCAGCTGCTGGAGGGCCAGGACTCCCAGTACGTTACTAGATAGAAACCCTACGAGGAGTAGATAAGGTTACTAACAGGACACATCGTACAGCAGTAATCTGTGGCTGCTGAACTGCCTCCAGATTCCTGAATTGCGTTCACAGCACAGGCAGCCTTTGGAGTACCGGCAAATGCCCGGCAAAATCCCAGGCATTGCTGTAATTCAAGCTAAATTTCCAGATCAATTGTTCTGATGATTAAAAAAAATACAAATGTCACCATTTTCACTACAATGAATTATAGAAGGGGTCGGGCACCATAATGCTCTTGCTGCACTGGAATAACAGCCTTCAGCCTGAAATAACCTATAAAAACCAATTCCCAGTATTTCTTTGGCTCTTGGTTTTCTACGCCTGTGCACAGGGGTAAAAACATTCACTGTCATAGGCCAGTAGTCCCAACTAGAAAAGAACTTGGCACAGACCACAGCTTACTTCAGTAAAATCTACATTTTAGTGCCTGTTTCTCCTGTCTGCTCCACACATGGCATTACTTTAGATCCCTGTGGAGGAATTAGCTCCTTATATTGTTTTTACATTATGAAATTTTGAGAAGAGGAGCAGTATCTAGAGAGGTATCAGGACCAAGAGCTGGTCTGACTGCTGCTCCTGCTTCCTATCGACTACCGGGGAGTGGCCTTCAAAGCAGAAAGCACCTGGGCGTTAAGTAACACCAGGAACAGCACACCTGAGCAACAGCTCACTGAGAGCAGCAGCGCAGAGCTTCCGAAATCAGTGCTTTCAGTGGTCATTAATCAAATGTTTCTTCTTTCCTACAGGATGTCAGGAATAAACCCTAAGGATGGTAAGAAAAATTTTGATTTAAATGAGACCTGAAATGAGTTGCCAAAACAGGATTAAATAAACCTATCTTTCATGCTTAGAATTTCTTCTTACTAATGCTGATCACATTCTCTCTGCAATGGCCAGATTCTTTATCATTTAGAGACAAAAAAATATAGTATTTGATATGCACTTTTGAAACCAGTAGCTCGCTAAAATGATTGCATGAACTCCTCACGGGATTCCCAAAGATGCCCAAGTTCCTGTGCTGATTCACACAACATACAAGATACATCCAAATCTGGCACGCGGTGGGCACTGCTAAGATTTACTGTCTGAGGACCAGGAGGCAGAGAAGATAAGATGGAAAGGCAGTTCCCCCTTTGATATATGGAAAAGATTGTGTGAGGAAACCAACAAACCAAAACCCCATTGCACAACTCTTTAGTGTGTTAGCAGGGCTTTTATTTTCCCTAGTTCAATTTTTTTTATTTCCTCCTACAGCAGCATCTCTGAGCTTCGGAAGAGTTCGCGCAGGCATTGAAGATGATGGAAAACCTGCTTCCACTCGTGAACGGAGATTCTAATAAAGAAATGCTGAATCCCCTCGCATACGACACCATATAAAAGCAGTGCAGCCTACACCTTGGCTAGTGCTAAGAGAAATACCCTTTTACTTTCGTCAAATCACAAGAATGCAATTTTGCAACAGCTTGATGCCCTTCCTTAAGTTTGCTCTCCCTTTTTACATGATCATTTAGCTCTTGGGGTCAGAGATGACAAGCTTATTTTCTGTCAGTAGCTACACAGTTACCTTATGAAAGAACTTACATAATAAAGTTTCTGTTCTGCTTGTGCAAATACGTCCAGTCTTGTGTTGTGTTTCTGGGGTCAGCACGGCATTGCCGTACGCGTAACCACAGCCCTCCCTAACCCAGCGCCTCCTGGAACCCAAACCAAGAGATGCTCGGTGGATAACAACAATAACAACTTTAACGATAATACTAAAGATGGTGATGAACGAACAGGTTTCAAGTGTCATTAGATTTTTCCAACTATATGAAGCAGTAAAAAACTGAGAAGATAATGCAAAAAATCCTGAAGCTCTTTGTTCTGAATTCAAACTGCCCAACATGCCTGCAATTCATGCACAAGTAAGATGCTCCTCAAAAAACCCCATATTTTTCCATATATATATTTATGTTCCAGCACTTTCTTCAGGAAAAAGACAAATTCCCTTAGCTCTTGAGAAAGCGCTAGGCAAGGCACAGGTGAAATGAACTCTTCGTGCAGAGTCTGCTGCAGCTGTTTTGGTTTTCACACGTAAGGCAGCACCTCAGCAGCCTGTGTCATTACTGTGGCTCTCGCTCTGGTAATTCTGCTTTTTCTCAGCAGTAAGTTAGTTTGCAAAGCGAGATGCTTCTAAAGCTTTAAGAGGCCTGTAAATCCCAGCTTCAGAAGCATATAAAACACTCACATAAATGCTGTATTTTGCTAAGATTACCTGTTTGGAAAATTTGTTATTAGCCTCATTGCTGAGTATTTCAATCCACATAACAGGATCTACAGAGATGATACAATTTCTAGAACCGTGTATTTCATTTTCCTTTCAGCCTCCTTAGAAGCACTATTTTTCTGTCTTCTACTTTCTGAAACTCAAAAATAAAGTATCTGCGCTGCTGGGACCAGTCCCCCAGTTTAGCTCTGAATGAGGCTGCAGTTAAGAGACAGACATAGTGCTGCTGTTCTCGCTGGAGAGAACCGAGAGGAGGTTCTTGCAAACTTCAGCACGGCAGCATCACCCAACAGTCAAATGATATTTTATTGTGATCCAGAAACCAGGTGAGCGCTGCATGTATCGCTGAGAGCAGGCAGCAATCCCTTTGTACTCCAGATGGAGGCGTTGAATCAACAAGTGTTGGTGAGAGGATATTTAATGCACAATGGAGCTGTCAAAGCAGTCTGCCGCGACCTAAACTGCAGCCTAGGAATTCAGCTGGGTCTCCTTTGCAACAAAGCCAATTCCCAAAGCGAGGAGGTGGCAACTCCGCAGGGAGGGCAGCCTGCAGGCAGCAGAGAGAAGCCCCGATCCCCTGGTGCCACCTGCTGCCCGCCTTCCGCTGCCGCAGCCCGGGCCCCGCTCTGCGCTCAAACACCCTGCGGAACCCCGGAGCCAGCCGGACAGCGGAGAGCCGCGGTGCTTCCCCAGCAAGTGTTTTGGTGTTTGCCACGGAACCTCTGCCTGCGCTGGGGAAAACTGTGTGGCATCCTTTCCAGCCTGGAAAGGCTGAGCTTCAGAGGAAACACTTGCTACGTGCCAGATCACCTTTGTTTTATATTACTTGCCAGAAAAAATACAGTTCTGTTCTTCATGATGGCATGAGAGTCTGTGAATCCATCTATGACTGTGACTATTCTGTCTCACAAACCATCAGCCCCACTGCCAGGCAAGTTGTTGATCTCACTGAGTAATTTCCCGAAACACAGCATTGGTTTTATTTCCTGTACTATTAGGTACATATGTATCTACTTGTATTTCAATGGGCTATTTCAAATAACATTAGCTTGCCTCAGTCTGAAACTAATCCCTGGTGACATGAACTGAAGAACAGGGTTTCACTTCTTCTGTTATCATGTGGTGGTTTTTTCAGGTTAAGTCTTCAATTTTTGTCCGGTGCTTCAAGCCCTTCTCACTCTCCAACAGCAGAGCTGGCACCGAACTGTAGCTGTTATCAGAATATTCTGTGATAGCCACACCTTGGACTCACTGCATAACCATAGCTTCAAGGACTAATTTCCCTAAACAATTCAAAATGTTAGCATTTCTATGCAATGACAGGCATGAGGAATAAGAAGGAATATGTACTTAATGGAAGCGCAACCGGCAAAAAGAAAGTCAGCAGGTGCTGAGCAGAGCTCCCACAGCCACGAGGAGGAGCCCCAAACCTGCGCTATTCAGCATGTGAGGCCCAGGAGAGGATGAAGGGCAGCAGCGGAGTGTTTACCGGGCAATTTTAACTGAAACAAGCAGGGGAGAGAAAAAAAAAAAAGACAGAGAAAGATTCCTTCGGGTTTCTTGCAGGACAGTGTGATTCTGGTTTGTGCAGGCTCTCTAACCCCCTGCTCAGAAGGAGTAAGGGTGCCAGCTGGTGAGCTGAGCCCTCCTCTGTGGCAGCTGCACCTTTGCTGCGAGAGCCCGTGCCCACTCCGTGTCCCATCTCTTCCCAAACCTTCCTCCAGCCCACCCCTCAGCCACGATCTACAACTACTCGGAAAGGCAAACCAAGGAACCCCAGCTGTTGCCATGGGAACGCCTCACAAATTACCACCCGCTTCCCAGCATAACAAAATCTTTGCAAAATTGTGCAGAAGCCAGACCTGCCCGTTCTGCATTTCATGGAAGAAGTTTGACAGAAAGTTACTGGAACGTTTGCAAAAGACTGTTTTTGCACAATTGACAGGTCAACTTTTAAAAATCTTTTGAATTTTTCGAGTGTTGTTACAAACTCACAAGTATTTTCTATAGCTAAACATATAAATATCTTAGGAGCATTAATACTGGTAACAGCAAGAAATTACTCCATTACTACCTATTTCAGCAAGGCTACTGAAATATTGAAATCATGAAAAAGTAAGTAGAAAATATTGTTAAGTTCCTAATTTTCATGCATTTCACCTGGAAATGGGCAGCTAAAGAGAACAACTGGGTCTTCCTCACTCTGGCTTGGAGTTTCAGTCAAACAGCAGAGGTCAGAGAACTTCACTAAAGCTTCGTGTCTCCTACAGGCTGAAGCTGGTCGGTACCTTAGTGACAGCTGGGTAGGACACGCTGTGTTTCAGGATTCACAGACTGCTGTAATTCTAAAGCCTGACACTTAGACCAGAAAGAATCTCGAGAGACCCATCCCTGACCCAGCTCTCCCTTTATTCTGTAAAGGACGATACTCGTCCCTTTATTCTGTAAAGGACGATACTCGTCCCCTCACAAGCAGCTAAACATAGCATACTAACTACAGAGCTAGAGAAAAGTCTGAGGCAGAGCTGATCCTGTTCCACACCTACTGATTTTAGCCACACCTCACTATTATAATATGAAAAGAAAAAGAAAAAAAAAACAAAACCAAAACAACCAAAAGGAAAGCAATGGTATGTGGCTGGTTCTAAACAACAACAACAGTGTGTGCAGGCTCATAAATGCTTCAGAATTGACCAAGAGGAAGCACGTTTCGTGATGACACAATCTTGTTGCTGTAGTCATTCATCGAAGGGAAACTCCCACAGGAAAAGGCATAAAGCTGCTTGGGGAAGGCTAAGAAGCTGCTCAGTGCTAGTCAGTCAAACATTGGGTTAGATTCACAACAGGGCTCAGCATGAGCACCAGCCAAGGCCCTTTCCAGTTTTTTTCTGGGTCCCTCAGGGGCAGTTCAGGGTGTGGTCTGGCCCAGCAAGGGCCTCCTTACAGAGCTGCAAGTGCAGATGGTGGTGCCAGCAGCACACATGCCTCCTTCTCCTCCACCAGACCCCTCTGGCTGGCTGCTGGAGCAGGGGCACCTTGGGGAGGCTTCGGCGAGCACCATGGGGAAAGCATCTTCCTGGGTGGGAATGAGAAACAGACTATGCAAAACCTGAATGACCGTTTGGCTGCCTATCTGGACAAGGTGCGCTCCTTAGAAGCAGCCAACGCTCAGCTGGAAAGCTGCATCCGGGAATGGCACAAGACAAAGTCTCATGGAAAGAGGCATGACTTCAACCAATACGAGCAAAATGTCACTGACATGCAAAGACAGGTAAGTCAGAGCTCTGGCTGGGTCGTTCTGTGCTCTTTTAAGGAACCTGGGTACTCATTCATGCTGATGGCTTTCCTTTACAGAAAGCTAAATAAAAACTCTTTCATGTTAGAAATACTAATGCAAGGGGTTACAGCACCTGGGCATAACCATGCTTCGTGCTCCCCAGGAGGAGAACGGGGTACTGGCAAGGAAGGCTGGAAGGAGACAAGGGGGATTCTGCAGACTGGCAGCACAAAGAGCTGTGCACGCTGCCAAGCGTTTGCTTCTGTACATGAAACTGTGGTTGGAGTAACTATGTCTGGCAGAATTTGGTCTTTTGGGCTGCACATGTATTCGAGCAAATTACAAAGCAGGCGAACTGAAGAGACTGCCTTCTTTCAGGCACAGCCTTTAAGCACACTTGCATTTCTCTTCTTTGATTCCTGTGGTAGCAGTCAATGAAACTACAGGAGTTTTGGGTTTGGGTCCAATAAGCTTATGTAATCAGGTGGAAAAATACTTCATTGTAATTAAGAAAATAGCAGTGACAAATTCCTTGTGGATGTTTTCACTATAATTAAAAGAAGAATTTCTGGTTCCTGCCAGTAGTTAATATTAACGTTCAACAGTAACTCTTTCAATCTCCCAAACTCACGTGTCTCCAGATTTAAGCATAATAGTAATCTGTATTCATAATGAACTCACGCAGCACTGTAACCATTGGTGTGACTAATCAGTGTAATCACCTTTACACAGCCATATGGGGCCAAACCAAAGCCACTCCAATTGCTGGGCGGTAGTTTTCCCTCCATATTTATAACATGGTTACTTGGCATTCTCAAGACCCCAAGAAATTTTTTTGTCAAAAAGGCTTGGAAATGGTATTACCCCACATCTTTGCTGACTGAGGCCAGGGACTTAATCAAACTCCCTGCTCGCTGTTAATTGTGTTGCCTCCAGGCAGAAGATGAGGCGCTCTGACCACAGCCGATGCATGAGGAGAGCCAGAAGTGTCAGCACCTACTTCTGTTTTAAGGATAAAGAAAGGTCATCCATTTGCAGACCTGGCACGTTTTTTTAAAGTGGTACAGGGACTAAAAACTTGTGCATCAAGAATATTTGGAACTAATAAATGAGAAAGATTTAGGAAGACGGTAAGACTAAAACCATAATGATGGTTGGGGTAAAGCCCTCACTTTTCAACAGGTTCTACCCAACCCCTTATTCTGAACCCCCACCTCCCAGCTAGGCGTCGCTGAGGCCAATGGCCGTTTCAGCCGGGGGGCACGGAACGTGGAGCTCGTGCTGGGGACGAAGGGCTAGGAAAGGGTTCTTTACAGGTGACAGCTCAGCGACTGAACTCAAAATTTTTACTTTCTCTATAAATTATTGCAATTAGCACCATGACTGCCAGTAAAATCAGTGCAAATATAGCATCTAATAATTAACCATAACTAAATTAATTAACCATGAATTAAAAAGATTAAACTAATTTAGTACCTAAAGTGAAATTATACAAAATTTAGGATCTTATACCCAACAACCCAGAAAGTCTATGATATACTGGCTGCTGGACCCCACAGGGATCTACCT